CCTGGACCTCATCTGCTCACAGCCCCTCTCTGTCCTCTGACACTGAGCCCATCCTCCAGCCTTCCCTTCCAGCTGGGCTCTTTATCCATAAAGTCTGACCGGGAGAATTGCCAGCAAGGCTGCATTCTTTCTTTCTGTTTTCAGCAGTTAGGTAACACAAACAGGGCTGCCTCCAGGCAGGACTTGAACTACTGCCAGTCTGTAAAGCCTGGGCTCTTAGGCTTTCATCTCTCAGTTTCTTGATTCTGTACCAAGAAATGGTGTGTGTATTCCAGGCCCATGCTTGCACAGGAGGTCAACTGATAATGAGGGACAAGTCTTGGCCTGGCCCTGCTCACCTGGCACCTAAACTCTCCAGGTCATGCTTTTACCTGCTGCACCCTGGCCCGTACACTTTGGGGCTCTGAGCCAACTTTCAATGGTCCTATAATGTATCCCCACGCACCACATGGGAGGTACTAAGTTGTTGAGTTTCCAGAGCCTGTGCACTCATGTGGGCTGGTTCCTATGCAATCAGCTGTCCCATCCTGACATTTTGGCCAGCTGCCCAGGTGGGGAGGAGGCAGCCAGCCCAGAAGGGATTGGCCTCCCAGCTAAGCCCAGCCTCCCTCAGCCTTTACTAGAACAGGGGCCAGGGGCAAAGATCTCCCAGCAGAGGGAAAGAGACCGTTGTATGGACAAACTCTCCTGAAAGAAGGTGACAGGTTGGGGGTGGTGGGCTTGGAGGGTACTGGATTAGGGTGGGGATGAGCTGCCTAAGGCTAGGTGGCTTCAGGGACATTGGCCTGGGCATGGTGGTTTTCTAGTTACTGAATCCCTGGCAATGTTCCCTGTAATTCAGGGTAGGCCTTTCTAACTCTCTTCAGCCTCTCTCTTTGTCCCTGCCTAAGTGTTTACTAGACAAGTGGAGGCTGGTTTGCTACAGTTTCCGGCTGAGCCTATTTGGATTTTAGCTGTCAGTCCCTGCTTTCCCATCTAAAGATCACCCTATCGCCTCCCATGGGCCTCAGGAACTCCCCCTCCACCCCTCTGTCCTGCAGGATGCCACAGCTGAGCCTGTCCTGGCTGGGACTAGGGCCAGTAGCAACCTCCCCATGGCTGCTGCTGCTGCTCGTCGGGGCCTCATGGCTCCTGGCCCACATCCTGGCCTGGACCTACTCCTTCTACGACAACTGTCGCCGCCTCCGCTGTTTCCCACAACCTCCAAAACAAAACTGGTTTTGGGGTCACCAGGGCCTGGTGAGTGTGGCAGCAGGATGGGTCTAGGTCTCAGAGTAGGTGGACTTTTCTGGGGCTAGGAAGAGGGCTCGGGAAGCTGGGGATTGAGGTGGGCTGAGGTCTGGGATAGCAGAGAAGCCAGGGAGGCCACTCTCTCATTCCCCAGATGACTCTCTCATTGCTCTGCTGTGCCACCCAAGCCTCTCCCACCTCCTTGTCCCTGACCCCCAGCCTACTTAGGATCCTTTCTCTGCCTGTCTTCTTACACTGTTGCACTTTGAGGGGCTCCTGGGGAGGGCTGCACAGAGCAGGGAGCCCTGGCATTATTCCCACCTTCTCCACTGCTGGACTTGAGGCCTCCTGAGGGGCACCGTGCAGGGTTTGCTCCCTGCCTGTCCCATTTCCTGTGTCTGCCCAGATTTGGGCTGCTACTTTCCACAGAAATTAACTGTGACCTCCCCCCACCCCAAACACACAAGAGTACAGCTGGACCAGAAGAGAAGTGTGGGCAGTGTCCCACCCCCAGCCTTTCCTGGGGGCACCTTCCTTTTATCCTGCTCTTCCCCACAAAGATGTCCCATTGGGCCCTGCTGTGCAACCTAGAGAAGTATTGTCCACTCACTTCCCCTTTCAGGAGACTTGCTTAACCTCCCTCCCCCAGTCCTTGCTCTTCAACTTAGATCTGGTCTCTCCTTTGGTGGACTCGGTCTCAGTCTGTTCATTTGCAATGGCAGGAGGGATTGGTGTGTCCTTGGGCTCACTGGAAGGGTGCACAGAATCTGGTGTGCAGAAGGTGCTTACAAGCAGGAGCCACCATCCTGTTTGGACAGTTAGAGTCCCCTCTGCTTCTCTGGGGTCTGCCAAGGCTGGAAGGTCCTCAAGGTGCAGACCCTTCTCTGTGGGAGGACCTGAAGCCCATGTGGACCAGTCAGAACATGAAGGATGTGGAAATCAGCCATAGAGACACATCCTGAGGTCACACTGCTGCCCACAACCCCCTCTATGGGGATCATCCCATATGGCTTCCCTCAGGCTGAATCATGCCCTGGGTAAGAAAATCCTTCCTGAGCAGTGCCTGTGGCTCAAAGGAGTAGGGTGCCAGCCCCATATACCAGAAATGGTGGGTTCAAACCCAGACCTGGCCCAAAAAACCTGCAAAAAAAAAAAAAAAAAAGACAAAGAAAAGAAAAAGAAAATCCTTCCTCTGGAGCCAAAGTGGGACCCTCTGAGGGCAGACAATGTGTCCTCTCCCTTTGCCCTGCATGCACCTTTGACATTTGCAGATGGTCCCAAGAGAGAAGGAGCAGGAGGAAGCAGAGATTCCCTCCATCTCTACAGAATTGGGCGCAATGCTGCTAGAGGCTACAGCGAGCTGTGGCTCCTCCCGGGGAAGGTCTTAGTCAGGATCCTCCAAAGAAAGGGCCACAGGACACATAGACCTAGCTATAGGTATAGACAGATAGGAGGGGATTTATTATGAGAATTCACTCATGTAATTACAGAGGCTGAGAAGTCCCACCATGTGCCATTTGCAAGCTGGAGATCCAGAGACTCCAGTGCTATAATTCAGTCTGAGTCCAAAGGCTGAGAAGCTAGAGTTCTGATATCCAAGGGCAGGAGAAGATGAAAGTTCCAGCTCCAGAAGAGTCAAAGGGAACAAAGTCAAGTTCCCCTTCCTCTGCCTTTATGTTATCTCTGGGCCCTCGATGGATTGGATCGTGCCTGCCCACATGGGGGAGGGTGGGTCTTCCTTCCTCATTTTACCAATTCAAGTGCTAATCTCTTCCAAAACCTCTCACGGACACATCTAGATATAGTGTTGTAAAGATATCTGGGCATCACTTAGTCCAGTCATTTCAGCACATAAAATTAACAATCAGAAGGTGACCAGCCTGCCATGTTTGCAGATTTCTCCCACGGAGGAGAGTTTGAGAGAAAGGATTGAGCTGGTGGCCAACTACCCCCAGGGCTTTAAACTCTGGCTGGGACCCATCCTCCCTCTCATCAATTTGTGTCACCCCGACATCCTGCGACCTGTCCTCAATGCCTCAGGTACACACTCAGAGCTGGTGGTGGTGGGCACCATGCATACCCAAGGGCTTTCAACCCCTCCTCCCCCAACCTTCTGTGTGGCCCCTTCTGTACTACGGCCCCTCCTTCCCTCCTTTCCTTCATCCATCTTCCTCTTTCCTTCATGGACTCACCAGACCCCACCTCAGTGTCTCCTCCCTGCTCTGCAGTCTGACCCCTGCCCTGGGGAACTTACAGCTGGTGGACCTGAGCTGCTATTGCCATGACTCCCATCCCTGAGGGTCAGTTTCTTCTACCTCAGCCTGCCACGAGTCTGCCATAAGTTTATTGTTTTTCTGCTCCAGGCCCCAGGAAGCACTAATGGCAGACCCCACCACTGCCAAGGGACCTTTTGTTTCCCTTACCCTTCCTTGGACAGGGCAGGCCAAGCAGGAAAATGGACAGCGTCCCACACAGAATCTGACACCAAAATGCTGAGTGGCTGTAGGCAACTTTCTGGGTCTCCCTGGCTTCTGACATCTCTTTCAGTTGTGAGTGATGGTCTAAGCAAAGACCTCATATGGGCTAAGCAAGGAAAAGACATCTATTGACTCTAAAGTCCAAACAGTACGGCTGGATCAACTGGATCCAGGTCTGAATCTGTATCTTCAGCAATCTGTCTCCCTCTTGGTTTTACCTTTTTCTATATCACTTTTCCTTTTAATGCATCCCTGTCTACAAAGGGTTCCAGAAGCTTCAGAAACCTCATCTTTTCACCAGACTGTCCACATGTAGCCCATGATTCAAGGTAATTGTCCTGACCTAGTCACAGAAGCAGTTCCTCATCTGACTGTGATTACTTAGGCTTGGCAGGAGTTGGGCTTCTAGAGCTACTGTTTCTTGGCACAGAATAGTTTGATGATTAAAAACTCAGGCCCTGGATTCATACAGACCAAGGCTCAAGTCTCATGCATGTCACTTGCCACCTGTGAGATCATGGGTAAGGGACTTCATCATTCAGTCTTAATTTCTTTACCTAGAAAATGGGATGAAAGAAGACCCAGGTGAAGGTGGCATTTAGGATTTGTCTTCCTTCATTTCTGTTCCTGTAACTGAATAGTTGAGACTAGGTAATTTATAAGGAAATTCATTTCTTACAATTCTGGAGGATAGAAGTTCAAGCTTGAGGGGTTATATCTGCTCATCTTCTGGTGACAGCCTTGTGCTGTGTCATAACATGGCAGAAGGTATCACAGAGGAAGAGGACCGAGCATGCTAGCTCAGGTCTCTCTTCCTCTCCTTATGAAGCCAATCCCACTGCCATGACAACTCATCAATCCATTAATCCATGAATAGATTAACTCATTAATGAGGGCAGACCCCTCCAATCACCTGTTAATGGCCCCATTTCTCAATACTGCCACTTAGGGATTAATGTTCAATATACGTTTCCAAAGGGGGCAGACATTAAAACCATAACAGGATCCAAAGGGGAATGTGTTTTTCTGTCTTGTAACTGAGTTGTTATGTCTGCTGGGTTTGAGAACATGGGGAGGATGTCTAGAAGGAGACACTGAACAGAGAGGTTGATGAGCTGCTGAATAGAATTCCCAGGATGCAAGTCTGAGACTCTACCTTGCAAGTCCTTCTCTTTGGCAGACTAAAGAGCATGACTTGGGCCCTCCCTGTCCTTCTCTGGATTCTGAGCTTAGGGACAGATCTTCTATACACACAGGGCTCAGGCAGCACCTTTGGGGATGTGGGCTGCTGATGGATGGGGCCCTGGTATGTGATCCTGGGCATCTTCCACTCCACCTACTTCGACTCTGTGCTCTTTGTTTCATGTGGACATCCCACTGGCCGCAGCTGACGCACTACTGAGGTCTTGGTGCTGCCTTCAGCTGGCCTGGTGACCTACTGCAGACATGAGGGGCTGTGGGAGAGATGCCACTGCTCCTCTCTCTCCTGGACTTTCACCTGCCTGACCTCTGGTCCTGTCTGCTCATATCCAGGCATTTATGTGTGGCGTCTGCTGTATGCCCATGCCTCTTGTGTGGCTACATCTTATCACATGTATATTTACACCTGGATCCAGATTTCACTGGTACATTTTACAGCTCATTGCACCTGATATGCATCTGCAATCATATGAAGATTGTCATGTCTAGGGTTCAGCTGTAGTCAAAGTCACTTCAAACGTGTTGGGGACTATTTGATTCTTGTCTGAAATGTTGAGACGTTCTCTTTGTCCTGCTTGTCACATCTATGCCAAATTTGGGGCTTGTCTGAGTTCTGAGGCCCATGGTTCCTTTATGAATGGTCTGAGACGTGAGTCTTGCCTGAGACAGGGTTGAAGGTAGGTTCAGATCATGCCTGGGGCACAGTCTGGGTCACACTTGGTCCACATCTGGGACATTAATGGTATATTTAAATCCTACCTGGGACCCATCCATGAGACAAGCTGAGGTCATGTCAGGCCATTTCAGGTAAATTTCAGAGCATGTTGTGTCATTTAGGGCTTGCCATGTGTGTTGTGACCATGTCAGATGTTGACACATTGGGGCTGTGTCACACGTCTCAGATCCATGTCAGGAGATGTCAGAGTTCTGGGGCAAACAGGGTATTCTAGGTTCCTGTGAAGTTTTCTGTAGGGTGTTGGGCTATAGTTGGATCTTCCAGACATGTTAGACAATGTAGTAGAACTTCTAGGTTCCTGTGAAGTTTTCTGTAGCGTGTTGGGCTGTAGTTGGATCTTGTGGACGTGTCATACAATGTAGTAGCCATGTGAAGGCATGATAGAGCATGCTATGCCACGTTAGGGTGTGTCCTTGCTCCACTGTCTGCTGCACCTTGGTCTGGTCCCTTCCCTTCCCCCATCCTCCCTGCTTCCTCTGCCCTTGGGCCCCTTCCTGCTAAGCTGGGCTTAGAGGGGAGAAGTGCAAAGCCCTGGGTGGGAACCTCCAACTCTAACTAAACCTCTCCCCTATCCATCTCCATGTCCCCTGATTGTCCTCGTTCATGTCAGCTGCCATCATACCCAAGGATATGAGTTTCTATGGCTTCCTGAAACCATGGCTGGGTGAGTAACTACAAATGAATGGGGAAGGGGACAGCCTTGTGGGGTCACTGGAAGGCACTTTCCTTGCCTGCTGCCCTAATAGGGGACGGGCTTCTGTTGAGTGGTGGTGACAAGTGGAGCCAACACCGTCGCATGCTGACACCTGCCTTCCATTTCAACATCCTGAAGCCCTATGTGAAGATTTTCAATAGGAGTGTAAACATAATGCATGTAAGTTTCTTGAAACTGAGGTCCTAGCTGGATCCTTGGTGTAGAGGGGCCTCTGAGAGATCTTGTCTAGAATTTTGGCTCTGCTAGGTGGCATAGGGGCCATTGTTTTTCCTCTCCAAGCCTTGATTTCCTCATCTGTAAAAATGTAATAATAATATCTACCTTAAAAAAAAAGTCAAGGTGTAATAAAGTCCTGTCCATGGGACATAGTAGAGTGTCAAAAAATGTTAGTATTTTTACTTCTCTCACAGAAGCCCTATAAACTCAAGAGATCAATGATGAAGATTGCACGGTAGCTGTTGCTACAAGTGATCCACTTGCAAACTCACTGGTTTAAAGCAATAAGCATTCACAATTGCTAATAAGTCTATGGGTCAGTTGGCTTGTTCTTCTAGATGTGCAGGGGCTCACTCATGGTGTCTGATCAGCTGTGGGTCAGGCTGGCAGCCTTGCTGATCTTGGCTCTGTCTCTCATATGTGTGGGGTGTGACCAGCATCAGGCTGATTGAAGACAGCCTCAGCTGGGACAGCTAGACTTTCCTATATGAGATTCTCTCCCTCTAGAAGGGATCCCTGGGTTGTTCACATGGCAGAGTCAGGGTTCCAAGGGAGCACAAAGAGGCTGTAACATCCCTTGAAGCATATGTTTGTTACAGTTATTATGCCATCTTTTTTACCATATTGTATTGTCCAAAAATTAGAAGTTATTTTTGCCCCATTACAGATGATGAAACTAAGCCAGAAAGATTAAAGGGATTGCTCAAGTTCACCCATGTAATAAGAGCCTAGGGGTAGTGGAACAGGGACTCTAATCTGGTTTATCTGGTATCAAAGCAGGACATCTTAACTGTTGCTAAAGATTTGGCAGGTGGCACCTAAGGGAAGGCAATGAGTTGACCAAGGGCACACGGAACATAAGATGCAGAGCTGGAACTTGAACCCAGTCCTCTTGACTCCCAGCCATATGGTCTTCATCTCCTGATAATAAAAGCTTCTGCTTTCATCCGAGCCTGGTCCTCCATGGAGATGGGTACTTGAGCCAGAGAAACTATAAGCTGGTTCTGGGGAGTCTGGGTTGGGGATGGAGTGAAAGGAGCTAGGGCCCAGTGCCAGCTCTGTCTCTTTGTCTGGCCAGGCCAAGTGGCAGCGCCTGGCTTTGGAGGGCAGGGCCCATCTGGACATGTTTGAGCACATCAGCCTCATGACCTTGGACAGTCTGCAGAAATGCATCTTCAGCTTCGACAGCAACTGTCAGGAGTGAGTTTGTGCCCATGGTGTGGGAACTTGAGCCACAGACCAAAGTGAGTAGGTGAGGGGAGGAGGGAAGACTGACCAGAACAACCACAAGAGCTGTGGTGGAGGACATTTATTAGTCATAGTTGGACTTTTAAGGACAGGGAAATGTAGTTAGAAATGTTTGAGAAAAGGCAAGAAGGCTGGGGAGCAGAACATGTTCAGAAAGCACTAGAATTGAGGTGGTAGAGGTAGAGAGGGGCTAGATCTCAAGGACATTGAGAACCTAGGGAAAGTGATAAGACCTTTATCATGAGGTTTCCAGGGAGCCATTGAAGGTGTCGGAGCTGCTGATGGGCCTGGTCTGAGCTGAGCTGTGTGGAGAATGGACTGTCATGTAGACACTAAATGGAGTTCACTTTGGATGCAGAAGGGTAGGTTGGGGGCTCAGCCAGGAACCATTTGAAATCTGATAAGATCTGAATTGTTGTTTGGACAGTTTAGGAAGGACAAGGGGCAGGACTGGATACTGAGTAGGAGAGACAGAGGAGACCAGTGGCATTATGTCCAAGCTGTGCTCTAGGAGCCAAGTGGCAGCTCACAGAGATGGAATGCAGAGAGAGAAGAGAGTTTGTAGCCCGAGTCTCAGGACTAAGCCCTTCTTGTATCAGTTGGACCATCCATTTCTGGAGATTCAGTTTCCTAATGGGAGGTAGATCCTGTCTGCCAGTGGGAGGTGCTCCTGGGGATTCAGGCATGTTAAGTTGTTTCCTCCCTTATCCTGCAGAAAATCCAGTGAATATATTGCCACCATCTTGGAGCTCAGTTCACTTATAGAAAAAAGGAACCAGCAGGTCCTCTTGCTCATGGACTTCCTGTACTATCTCACTCCCAATGGGCGGCGCTTCCTCAAGGCCTGTAGGCTGGTGCACAACTTCACAGACGCCGTCATCCAGGAGCGACGTCGCACCCTCCCCACTCAGGATATTGATGACTTCCTTGAGGCCAAAGCCAAGACCAAGACTTTGGACTTCATTGATGTGCTCCTGCTGGCCAAGGTGAGCTTCTCTGGGATATGAATTCTAGAGATAAAATGGAGCTTCATGTCAAATTCTAAATTAGAGAACTTGGATTTAATCCAGTAGGCAAATGGGGAACCATGGACATTATTTGAAGTGGGAAGGGACTGGTCAGAGATATATTTTAGAGATCAGCCTGTGAAGTACAGCCATCAGGGGACTGTTAGGTCTGAAACTATGAGGAGCCTGAGATTTTATTTCATTTGCAAATTATTGTGTTAGTCTGCCACACTTGTTTGTGCATCATATACCTATGTCTTTGTCTATGTCTACATCTAAGCTGATAGATGACCCTACCCCATAGATCACAGCAGCCCATTTATGATTCATGGCAATAACAGCAGCCAGAGTAGGACTCTAGTGCTGGCTCCCCCCTCCCAAATTCCTCCCAGGGCAATGCAGTGTTTTTACCTCTTAGTGCATCAGAAATTGCACCACAGAAGAGGGTCCCTACATTATGCATCTTGGAGCTTATTGAAAGGAGCTGGCACATCACTCCCTCCTTTCTTCTAGAAAGAGAGAGAGAGCGGGGGGTTGGGGGGGGAAGGAGAGCACTTTGTTCTTTGGTATAAACTCCTCTTTAGTGACATGGCAACAGCTATAGGTTTATAAGCCAAATGCCTTTAAGGGAGGTAAGATAAGATTCTCTATGTTTACCATCCTAGAATGTGCAGCAATATTTTTGGAGCAACACTTAATTTCTAACCTCCGAGGCAAAGTACCATTTAAATATCCCATAACCCAGGACTTCTGCTCCAAAACTCCTCATTAGGCAGAAACATGAAACTATTCGCAGATCATTGATTCCTCCCACCAGGGATAAGAGAGGAGGCAAGGAAGCCCTAGAGGAAACCCATCAAGTGAGAGTTCTGACAGTGGTGACCAAGAGAGATCTAGGAGTAAATGGTGGGTTTAGGTCTCTGAAAGGAGGATGGATCTTCAGAGATTGTCTCACATTAGACTCAAGTATGAAAGCTAGTATGACTTGGTGGGGTGGTCTTGACTTTTCTCTAGGATGAAGATGGAAAGGCGTTGTCAGATGAGGACATAAGAGCAGAAGCTGACACCTTCATGTTTGAGGGTGAGGGTCCCAGTGTGGGACTGCAGTGGGGGTACAGGTCTCTCCATCACAGAGACTTGGTGGGTGGACCTTGGAGCACTCCATCCTTTCCATCCTCCCTAAGGGCATAGGGAGGGTAAGTGTGTCTACCTCTCTGGTGCTGAAGCAGCTGAGAGACCCATGCCAACCTTCTTGCCATTCAGGCCATGATACCACAGCTAGTGGTCTCTCCTGGGTGCTGTACAACCTTGCAAGACACCCAGAATACCAGGAGCGTTGCCGGCAGGAGGTGCAAGAGCTCCTGAGGGACCGTGAGCCTGAAGAGATAGAATGGTGAGTACAGGTCCTCACGGCCTGTTCCTGAGCCCCTCTCATTGGCTCTGCTCCCCAAGTGGGGAGGAGAGAAGTTGTTTTTCTTGATTCTAACAGTATTTCTTAGTGGTAATAGGGTTAGAGCCCAGAGGCAGGACTTGGTGCCCAGCCTGGCTATCAGGGGAAAGGTTGCAGGCTTTGGCGACAAAAAGATCTGAGTTACTGAGAGAATTGTGTCAGGGCTAATGAGGCCACTTAGCACATGCTCAGTAAATGAACTTCTCCACTCATTTTCTTTTCTCCCTAAAATATTGTGTTTTTTTAAATATCATTTTAAAAAACATCTTCACTGGCTCGGCGCCTGTGGCTCAAGCCAGCCACATACACCAGAGCTGGCAGGTTCGAACCAGCCCGAGCCGGCCAAACAACAATGATGGCTGCAACCAAAAAACATTGTGGTGGGTGCCTATAGTCCCAGCTACCTAGGATGCAGAGGCAGAAGAATCAGTTAAGCCCAGGAGTTGGAGGTTGCTGTGAGCTGTGATGCCACAACACTTTACCCCGGACCACAGCTTGAGGCTCTGTCTCCAAAAAAAAAATAAAAAATCTTCACTAACTGAATATTTGCTCTTCTGTGCCCTAAATCCTACCCTACTGTCCCATCCAGGGATTCACAAAGGAGACTAGATGTTAAGTTTTCGCTTATTCACACGTCTATCTCCACCTAGTTCCATGAGTCTATTTTTCTGTTTTTGGAGAACTGCCACACTACTTCTAGCACTATGACTTTGAAATTGTGTCTGCTAGAATAATCCTCTTTAACATTTGATTTTCAAACTGACATACCTCTTATGATCTTTTATTCTTCCAGAAAAAAATTAGAGTAAGTTTATCACATTCCTTAAAAATCAGACAGATTTGAGTTGAATATATCCTATCGGTTGACTTGAATAAAGACTGATTTGTGAGAAATGGATAACTTCATAATATTGATGCATCTTCTCTCAGAGTATGAAATAGATATTCCCTTGTTAAAATAATCTTTAGTTTATGGGCAGCGCCTGTGGCTCAGTGAGTAGGGCACCGGCCCCATATACCGAGGGTGATGAGTTCAAACCCAGCCCCAGCCGAACTGCAACAAGAAATAACCATGCATTGTGGTATGCACCTCTAGTCCCAGCTACTTGGGAGGCTGAGGCAAGAGAATTGCCCAAGCCCAGGAGTAGGAGGTTGCTGTGAGCTGTAACGCCACAGCACTCTACTAAGGGTGACAGAGTGAGACTCTGTCTCTACAAAAAATAATAATAATAATAATCTTTAGTTTAAACAGAGTTTTAAATATTTGCTTAGAGATAACATACATGATGTATTAAATAAAAACTTAGGTATTTGTGTTACTATGGTGTAGTGTATCTTTTATTTCTATTGAGAGAAATTTATAAGTTCATTTGGAGCACAAAGATTTAATGTTTCTTGTTAAATTTAATCCCAGTATTTTATATTACTATTGGTAGTAGTATCTTTCCTTATATTGTCTTTTCCAACTGGCTATTATTTCTACATGGAAAAATGAATAGTTTATGCATATACATTTTTGTTGTGTGATGTTCTTTCTCGCAAGGAGAGAAGGACGGCTTGGCCGCGGGTGCAAGCTCGCTCCTAGAATAGTTTAAAAGCAAGAAACGACTACACACTCTTAGGTGGCATGTAGCAAAATGTCTTTATTTTCTACTTCCTTTTATTGGGAGCTAGTCAGTACACCACATTGATCGATAATCCTAACATCCTCATTTCTTATCTTAAACTATAGGAAAGAAAGAAAAAAAGTAATCCTAGCATCCTCATTTCTTAAACTGTAGAAAAGAAAGAAAGAAAGTCCAGGAATGTGAGATAGCCATCATAAGATTAGCCTAAAGAAAGAAAGTCCGGGGAAAGTAAGCTAGCCTCAGGCTATTCCTCTTGGAAGATCTAGAAGAACAATTCATTATCTGACTTCTATTGTTGAAGTTAAAGGTTAGGATAAACAGAGGAGTAAAACCTTTCTCTTCTATGTACTCAATTAAATTTCCGAGAAACTGGCTTCATGACTGTTTTCTTATGGCTTTGGAGACCCTGCAGTTACGATGGAATATTTTACTCGACATCATTACGACGGAGTTTTTCTTTTTACTCACATCAACCTTTGAGTCATGTCCTGTGCACAGATGGGCCGTTTCAACCCTTATCTGACAGGCTGACTTGACTGCACAGTCGGGGTTACCTGCAAGAGGTTTTTACGCCTGGCCTGCAGGCCCCCACCGTGTTTTCCCAGGTTGCTTAGGGCCTCGACAAAAGCACATAATACTCACAAGTCTTTTCGCTCAGTTCTGGAATTAAAAGAGCACATCTCATTTAAATTTTGTGGGGGTTTACCCCACAC